ATGATCCTGGAGACCCAGGAACAAGTCCCACATCGGGCTCCCTGCATGGAGCCTGCTTCTCCCTCTGCCTGTGTCTCTGCCTCTCTCTCTGTGTCTCTCATGAATAATAAAATAAAAATAAAATAAAATATAAAATGAAATGAAATAAAATAAAATAAAGCTGGTTTAAAGAAAAATAAACAACCCTCAGCACTACCCCAGCCCTCTGACCTCTTCAGGTAGCTAGTCATGAGTTCTTGTAGTTTTTAACAGCTGTCAAAATACTGTATCTATTTCATTTTTTAAAATGTTGTTCCTGTGTGTGTCTAGTGGATCAGTTGATTGAGCATCCAACTCTTGGTATCAACCCAAGTCATGATCTCACAGTGGTGGGATCAAGCCCCATATTGGGCTGTGAACTCACTGCAGTGTCTGCTTTAGATTCTCTCTCCCTTTCCCTCCCTGTTGTTCTCTCTCAAATAAATAAAATCTTAAATATATATATTCTAGGGATACCTGGGTGGCCCAGTTGCTTAAGCATCCAACTCTTGATTTCAGCTAAGATCATTCTCTCAGGATTGTGAGATCAAGCCCTGCATTGGACTCTATGTCCAGCACCTACCAGGCTAAACACCTACCAAACTGTGAGCAATATGATAAGGTTTAGCACTTATTTGTCTACAGATTCTCTCTCTCCTTCTCCCTCTGTCCCTCTTCTCCTGAAAATCTTTTTAAAAAATATTGTTTCTATACATTTTTCATGTCTCTACATGATCTTTATGGTCAAATTAATCATCAGGCATTTGAGGATACCATCATTTTTTTTAAGATTTTATATAAATAATCATGAGAGACACAGAGAGAGAGAGAGGCAGAGACATAGGTAGAGGGAGAAGCAGGCTCCATGCAAGGAGCTCGATGTGGGACTGGATCTGGGGACTGGGGATCATGCTCTGAGCCAAAGGCAGATGGCTTAACTGCTGAGCCACCCAGACGTCCCAACACGATCAATTTTTTAAGGGTTTTTCTCTTCCTTTTTTTTTTTTTTTTTTTAGATTTTATTTATTTATTCATGAGAGAGAGAGAGGCAGAGACACAGGCAGAGGGAGAAGCAGGTTCCATGCAGGGAGCCTGATGTGGAACTCGATTCCGGGTCTCCAGGATCACACCCTGACCTGAAGGCGGCGCTAAACCGCTGCGCCACCCAGGGCTGCCCTTCCTTTCCCTTCCTTTCCCTTCTTTCCCCTTCCCTACCCTTCCCTACCCTTCCCTACCCTTCTCTTCCCTTCCCTTCCCTTCCCTTCCCTTCCCTTCCCTTCCCTTCCCTTCCATTCCCTCCCCCCCTCCCCTCCCCTTTCTTCTTTTTTCTTTTCTTTTCTTTTCAAGAGCAAGGAGGGAAAGAGGGCAGAGAAAATCTTAAGCAGGCTCCATGTAGTATGGAGCTTGACACCAGGCTCTATTTCAGAATTCTGAGATCGTGACCTGAGCCAAAATCAAGAGTCTGACACTTCACTGACTGAGCCACCCAGGTGCCCCAATTTTTTGAGGTTTTAAATATTTTTTTCAAATATCTCTTCCATGTTCCATTTAGCCATTAATCTGTTTTTATTTTCTGCTTGGTGTTATATGTTACTCATGTGAAAATTTTAAAAATGGATTTGCCTAGAAAACAAAACAAACTAAAATATTCTAGATCTTGGAATGTTGCTACCTAGAATTTTTTTTACTTTCCTTTCCTTCCAAAAGTCTTTTATCAGAAAAAAAAAAAAAAAGAACTCTTTTTTTTTTCAAGTATTCAAATAGCTCAAAGTGCAAATGCCTTGTCTTTAAGTCTGTCCACGAAGATTTTTTTGTGATTTGTCTCATTTCAAATTTTTAAATAATTTTAAACAAAACAAAAAGGAATATTCCTTTGAAGCCCTTCACTTAAAATCTGAAGTATTTTCTCCTCTGTAAAATCCAACATTGTTCTGTTTTCTGAGTCCATATTGTACCCGGTACCATTAGATCTTTTAGCCTCAGTGGTAACTACTAAGTGATGATCAGGTTTCGATGCCTGTTTCTCTCCCTAGACTTTGAGCACCTAAAGGCAGGCAAATTTACTAATCTTTGTACTTCCTATCCCTACCCCCAAAGCCTGGGTTGTGGTAGATGTCAATAAATATTTGTAGAATATGGCAATGACAAGCTAAACACCTACTAAACTGTGGGAACATGATAAGGTTAGCGCTTTTTTTGTCTCTGATATTTTCCTAAGTTTACTTGCATTCTCTCTAGGTGTTTCAGGTGTCCACTGTGTCCAACCATGGGTAAAGGAATCCAATGGCATAAACCACAATTTGTACCTACTCGAGAATTTTTATTGATTATGAATTGGGAAAAATGCCAAATTAGCCTCCAGGAGAACAGGATTCTCATGTCCACAGAATAGGAAAATAGTAAACTGTTCTTTAGATTATCTATTCAGTTTTCCCTGATAGGCCACCAAATTAGCCTGGTGCCACAGGTCCAAAGCCTGGAAATGAATTGGGAGACTCTACAGAGAGCATCCTTGAATTATGGACTTCCTTATTTTCTTTTTCTTTTTTTTTTCTTTTTCTTTCTTCCATTCTTAGAAGCATATTGCGTTGAACTATGCTAAGTTCCTTGCTTAATTTTGATATCCTAGTTTTCCCAAAAATATAAATAATATAAAATATATTTGAAGAGAGAGAGAAAGGCTCTGGTGTGCAGTGAATGTACTGGAAGTAAAAGGAATAAGCTAAAGAATAATGCTCATTCTTGTCATCTGATGAAAACTGAGTATGTAAATCACTTGCAACTATTTTCAGAACTCTTCAAGAATATTACATGGAGACATGCAACAAATATACTAAGACTCTTGACAAGTAATTTCAGTCATTTCCACAATTCCTTGACATGAAGTTGTTTGCCTAAAGAAAGTTGCTAAAGAAAGTTCATGATTTAGATTGTTTCTAAAGAAAGTTCACAATTTAGAATCTGGTTGTTAATCATTCTCTCACTAATCCTCCCGAACTCTTGTGTTACTTGATAAAGCCTGTTAACTTTATTACTTTCTGCATTTTATGGTTGGAAAATGCCAGCTGCAAGGTTGCATAATGCATGTATTCTTAAGGTGAGATGAGGACTCTTCACCATTTTGTTGCTCTGCTTGAGGAAAAAAAATAAGTGTACCAAGGATTCAACCAACAATGTTCACCCAACTTAGTAAATCCTCAGCCATTCATCATCTTGAGAACACACTAGAATTATTTGGGGAGCTTTAAAAAACAGTCCTACCTGGATCCCACCTCCAGAGATTCTGGCATAAGAATTTTGTTTTATTTTGTTTTAAGATTTTATTTATTTGGGCAGCCCCGGTGGCTTAGCAGTTTAGTGCCGCCTTTGGCCCAGGATGTGATCCTGGAGGCCCGGGATGAAGTCCCACATCAGGCTCCCTTCATGGAGTCTGCTTCTCCCTCTGCCTGTGTCTCTGCCTCTCTCTCTCTCTCTTTCTGTGTGTGTGTCTCATGAATAAATAAATCCTAAAAAAAAAAAAAAGATTTTATTTACTTATTTGACGGAGAGAGAGCAAGAGAGCACAAGCAGGGGGAGTAGCAGAGGGAAGAGAGAGAAGCGGCTCCCCACTGAGGAGGGAGCCCCATGTGGGGCTTGATCCCAGAACCCTGAGCCAAAGCATCAAAACCAGATGCTTAAATGAATGAACCACCCAGGTTCCCCTGACATAGGAATTTTAAAGTCCTTGGGTGGAGCACATAGGTGGCTCAGTAGGTTAAGAGTCTGACTCTTGATTTCAGCTCAGGTCACAGTCTCAGAGTTGTGAGATGGAGCCCCGCATCAGGCTCTGTGCTCAACAGGGAGTCTGCTTGAGATTTTCTCGTTCTCCTTCTGCTCCTCATTCCATTATCTAAAATAAATAAATAAAATCTTTAAAAAAAATAAAGCTCCTTAGGTGATTTTATGTGCAGCTTGAAATTCACTGCACTTGGAAGTCCCCAACACACTTTGCTCAAATAAGTAAAACTTATTTAAATCATCAATTGCGGGCAGTTTAGTGCCTGCCTTCGGCCCAGGGCGTGATCCTGGAGACCCGGGATCGAGTCCCACATGGGGCTCCCTACATGGAACCTGCTTCTCCCTCTGCCTGTGTCTCTGCCTCTCTCTGTGTGTCTCTCATGAATAAATAAATAAAATCTTTAAAATAAAATAAAATAAAATCATCAATTGCTTACTGTATTTCTGGAGTAATTCTCAGATAATCTACTCTTGAACTAAATGCTCTGAGTGCAAGGGCTCCTTGGCTTCTTTCCTAATAGCCAGGTACCAACATAAAGCACCTAAGATCAATAAATATTTAACTATTTTGTTAATACTTATCCTAATCAAAAGCCTTTTTTTTTTAAGTAGGCTCCATGCCCAGCATGAGGCTTGAACTCATGACCCTGAGATCAAAACCTGAGCTGAGATCAAGAGTCTAAGCCACCAAGGTGCCCCTCAAAAGCCATTTTTAAAATAAGACTTTCAGGAAACAGAATTCTCCCTATATTAGAGCTTAATGCCTTCTTTCTACTCCATTACTTAATTCCTTGCAAAATGTTTTTTGCTTGGTCCTGAAAAGAATTTCTAATTATCTGAAATAGGTAAGGTTAAAGATATCCAGCTAAAATATTTTATGTTACTCATCTTCACATTTGGTGCTCACTAAACAAAAACCCGATGGCTAAACAAGAACTCTCTGTATTTTTTTTAATTGGCTCTAGTACTTCCTTACATAAATCATTAATTTTCCAGACTTAAAGCAGCTGGGTGCAAGCATTCTCATCATATAATTTGGTCAAAATCAACTTGCAGACATTAACATTGCTGGTATCATTTGACAAAGACCGCAAACCAAAGACAAACAGGTCTGTTTGGTTGGTTTTGTTTTGTTTTTATAAGAAATACTTTGTTCTACAGGAATCTAAAATTTCAAGTATTGCACTTCAAAACCAAGTACTTACATTTTCTAGGAGGCAAACAGCAGCAGGATTCCCACGAAATGCTTTTGCTGTAAATGCATCTACTATGAAAATAGGGAGCTTCATTTTTCTTGCTCTCAAAATTGCAGGTAGCTTTACTTCTACCTGTTGAAAAAAATCAGGAAGTTAATGTTTTACTTGGTGTACAGAAGCAACTAACAACCCAGGTCAACCAATAACTCTAATATACCTACATTTAAAGATAGGTGATCCCCTAATATTTAAGTCTTTAAATTGAATTTGTTTTAAAATACTGGATGAATACAATATTTTATTTTCAAATTTTGTTTGATTCTTATACTCTATATATACTTAAGAACATAATCATATTCCTTCTTAGAATAGCCAAACTAGCTTCAATTTTGTTTTTAATGAAGTACTTGAAATATCCAGGGGGATACATTGCAGGATTTCTTTTCCTTTGGTGTCTGAGGTTCTTGGTCATGCTGCTTCAAAGAATGAAGAGGTAGACCAGATGAAGAGTGGTAAGCAGCAAAGCAATGTCTATTGAGCAATAGCACAAAGCTCCCAAAAAAGGAGAGGACCCAAAAGTTTGCCACCTGAGTTTCTAAGTCTAGGGTTTTTTTATGGGCTTGCTGCTGGGTTGTTTTAATCTGATTAACCCTCCAGGGGCTTGTCACCCAATCAGGTTTTTGTCATCTACCTATCATGTGAGAAAGAGTGGAGGGCTCCTTCCAGGGTGGTGTAAAATCCTGTTATGGGTGGTTCCCGGGGTGCCTGGGTGGCTCAATTGGTTAACTGTCTGCCTTCAGCTCAGGTCATGATATCAGGGTCCTGCAATAGAATGCCACATGATGGGGCAGGGGAGGGGGTTTGTCTCTGCTCAGTGGGGAGCCTGCTTCTCCCTCTCCCTGCCACTCTACCTACTTACACTCTAATAAATAAATAAAATCTTTTAAAAAAAACCCAAAAACGGTGGTTTCTTCTTAGGGTGGGGGCCCCTTGTCCCTGTCCGCCTTTCTTCTGACTATCCTTCATTAGACATATAGACTCCTATAGTCTCCCAATGAGTATCACTATCCTTTTAAATAATGCATTTTTTTCCAATTATAATAAATATCCCCATTACAAAAAACTTGGAAAATTAAAAAGTAACCCATAATCACAAAACTCAACAATAGCTTTTTTTAAGGCTTAACATAGTAAAGGAGTCTCATGCTTTAACTAATTTTGTGTTATTTTATAAACCTATATACATAGACACTTTTTTGAGCTCCTGATATACATTTGTTAAATAAAGTTTTTCATTATAAGGGAAATCTGTACTTCCCCTCCCTAGAGATAAATTATGTTAACATTCAGGGTGTTTCTTTTGCTTTTCTAGAAAGCATGAGCCTTCTCAGAGCAATGGAGGGATTCGTCACTCCCAAAGTTATAGAACTTTAAAAAAATTCAACAAATTAGGGATGCTTTGTTTAAATTTAAAAGAAGAATAAGAAAAAAAAAAATCCTAACATACATTTCCTGTTCTCAAGAGGATTAAGATAAACAACCTGCCAGCCCCAGCCCTATGGACAGCTCCCAGGCCTAGTTTTCTTTCCTTTTTTTTTTTTTTTTTTTAATATTTATTTATTTAAAGTGCAGAGGGCACTGGAAGAAGGAGAGAAACTGAAGCAGACTCCACACTGAATGCAGAGCCTGCTCTGCCTAGGGCTTGATCCCACAAACCCCAGATCAAGACCTGAGCCAAAACTGCGCCACCCTGGTGCCCCCCCCCTTTTTTTTAATTATGCAAGTGTTTTGCTTAACTTTCTTGCCAAATGCCAGCTTTTTTTTTAATTGAGGTATACTGTACAGAACATAATAGTTTCAACTCAACATAATGATTTGATATTTGTGTATATTATAAAAAGATCATACTAAGTCTAATTAAAACCTGTAACCATGCAGTTACAAAAAAGTTTTTTTCTCATAATGAGAATTGTTAAGATCTACTCTCAGCAATTTTCAAATGTGCACTAACTATAGTTACTAACTAACTATACTGTGCTGTACATTATATTCCCATGACATTTATTTTCTAACTGGAAGGTTATACCTTTTGACCCAGTTCAGTATCTTCAATAAGTCTGTACCTTTTTTTTTTAAGGTTTTATCTATTCATGAGGGACACAGAGAGAGAGACAGAGACATAGGCAGAGGGAGAAGCAGGCTCCCTGTGGGGAGCCCGATGTGGGACTCAATCCCAGGACCCCGGGACCACAACCTGAGCCAAAGGTACATGCTCAACTGCGGCACCACCCAGGCATCCCAGTAAGCCTGAACCTTTCGACCTACAAGCAATAACATTATTAATATTTTAGATATATTTTTTAATCAGAATTTTTACCTTAACAGAATAGCTTGAGTATTTTTGAGGGCACTAAATGCTTCAAAAACATCATTTTAATAGATTTACGATAGACTTTTAGGTAGGCTATAAATTATTTAAGTATTTCCCCTTTGGTGAATATTTAAGTTATTTCTAATTTTTCACTTGTATAGATAATGTAGTGATGAAACTTGTTGAATATCATTTGCATTTCTGATTCTATAATTATAACAGATTCCTAAAAGCAAAATCCCTAGGTCAAAGTATATAGACACCTTAACTCACACATATAAACTTACCTTCAGAAAGAGTATACCAAGTTAGACAGCATATGAAAGTGTTCCACCATTAGTAACATGATAGAATAAAACATATCTTGAGTTTTTATTTGTGTTTCTTGGATTATTCTAACCAGACTGTATAGAGCAGAAAGTCAGAACCTCTTTTTGTTTTTCCTGTGATGATCTCAGTTCCTAGAATAGTGCCTGGCACACAATATTTATTGAATTAATTAAGTACATTTATACACTGAGCATACACCAAAAGTGGACTTTGATATATTGTTGACAAATACTTAGGAGTTCTTAACATAGAATTATCTGCCAGCCAACATTTCTCTTTCAGGGGCATCATTGTTATTGTCAATTACAGTTCATTTATGAAATTACATGGAAATTTTATTATAGAATGTCTTTATTATTTTAGAAAACATAGAAAACAAATTAAAGTTCTGATAATGAAGCATAGTTTTCATCAATTTAATAGAATTAATGCAATTTTAGAAGTCATGCGTGTGCCAAAAGGAGCATATTTTTAACCTCATTGAACTTCAGCCTCATTAGTCCTAGCTGTCAGCTACATCTTCAGTTGGATGAAAAAATATATATTGAAAAGATTTTTCTAATTTTTCCATAGTGATCATGAATTACATGTGAAAGTTTTTTTTTTAAGATTTTACTTATTCATGAGACACACACAGAGGCAGACACAGGCAGAGGGAGAAGCAGGCTCTCTATGCAGGGAGCCTGACGTGGGACTCGATCCTGGGTCTCCAGGATCAGGCCCTGGGCTGAAGGCGGCCGTAAACCACAGAGCCACCCGGGCTGCCCACAAGTTTTTAAAATACAGTGTTTAAATACTCTTCTGAACTTTTCTTAACTAGTTTAAAAGAGGGGATCCCTGGGTGGCTCACTGGTTTGGCGCCTTTCACCCGGGGCATGATCCTGCAGACCTCGGATGGAGCCCCACATCGGGCTCCCTGCGTGGAGCCTGCTTCTCCCTCTGCCTGTGTCTCTGCATCTCTCTGTGTGTCTCTCACGAATAAATAAAATCTAAAAAAAAAAAAAGTTTAAAAGAATAAATTTTGTAACTAAGTTTTATGAGGCTTCTAAAGCATTGGTTCTTAAATGGAAACAGTTTCTTTAAAGGGAAAAGATCTGGGGATCCCTGGGTGGCTCAGCAGTTTAGCGCCTGCCTTTGGCCCAGGGCGCGATCCTGGAGTCCCGGGATAGAGTCCTACGTCAGGCTCCTGGCATGGAGCCTGCTTCTCCCTCCTCTTGTGTCTCTGCCCCCCCCCTCTCTCTCTATATATATATATATCATAAATCAATCAATCAATCTTTAAAAAAAAATAAAGGGAAAAGATTCTTAAAGGCTAATAGCCAGTATCATTTGCCTATTTAACACCACTTCCCTCAGTCCCACCCATCCTCTACCCACAACACACTAGTACTTTACTTTTCCTAAAAGAACTCTGATTTTGTTTGGAGAGGCAATATGCCCAGCCCCATCAAAGAATCATATATATGTACGTATGAATGTATATGTATGTATAGAGACAGCCACCTTTTGTGTCCTCATGTGACAGAAAGGAGAGCAAGCTCACTTCTTATAGGAGCACTAATCCCATCATGAGGGCCCCACCCTCATAACCTCATCTAAACCTAATTACATCCCAAAGGCTTACATTTCCAAATACCATCACAGTTGGGGTTACAACCCTAACTTATGAATTGGGGGTAGGAGGGGTGGGGTTGGGTAGGGGACACAATTCAGTCTGTAGCACCATTCCTGCCAACACCTTGATTTTAGCCCAGTGTAATCCATTTTGAACTTTTGAACACCAGAACTATAAAATAATAAATTTGTGTTGTTGTTAGCCACTACACTTGTGGTAATTTGTTATAGCAGCAATAGGAATTAATACAGTCTAATATCCTGTTCTACAAAATTCTAAGAATAACAACGGTCAATACTTACTGAGCATTTATTATGTGCTAGACATGGTTCTAAGAGCATTTAATTCTCAGAGCACTCCCATAAGATAAATACTATAATTCCCATCTCCCATCTTACAGATAAATATATGGAAGCTCAAAAAGTTTAAGTATGATGGTATTTGGAGATATATATCACATCTTCCTTATCCATTCATCTATCAATGGGCACTTGGGCTGCTTTCATAATTTGGCTATTGTAAATAATGCTACAATAAACATTGAGGTGCAGATATCCTTTCCAACTAGTGTTTTCTTATTCTTTAGGTAAGTATCCAGTAGTAGAATTACTAAATATATATGGTAGTTTTTTTTTTTATTTTTTGAAGAATCTTCATACTGTCTTTCAGGGTGGCTGCACCAGTTTACATTCCCACCAAGGGTGCATGAGGGTTCCTTTTTCTCCACAACCTTGCCAAAACTTGTTTCTTGTGTTGTTGATTTTAGCCATTCTGACACACGTGAGGTGATATCTCATTGTGGTTTTGATTTGTACT